CTTCACAAATCAATACTCAATCCGTTTTTGCTCAGTTCTATTACTTGATTTTTCAAACAAAAATAACCAACGGGCACGCTTCTGCCCCGCTAGTAGTACTTACTCCTAGTACAAATCAAGGTCCTAGGTATTCAAAGTTAACCTAGTAGACCATGAAGTGTATGTGACAGTCAACAAAAAGAACAGATGATGTAAATTTGTATGCCTGACTATATGTACACTGTACACATGTGCTTGCAGCATGCATAAAAATTATGGGTCATATGATCGAGCCACAAAACGCTCCAAGAAAAGGCTGGGGCCCTAAAGGTACTAAAGAGGTAATGAAACCTACAATGGTAGGTTATGTCAGATTCCTGTTTCCTAGTAAAGAGAGCTCCGTGCATCACTCGGCGCAAAGCCAGTAAATGTCAAGACCATTTCCAAGCTTATATATGTATCTGATCTAATATTATGCGCTTCCATTGAGCGGAAACATGCACGCGTGTGCATGTAGTAGTAGCCTATTAGGTTTTTTTTTTAAGGATGACCTTTGGCCTCTGCATCTGGGAGATGCATACAGCCATTTTATTGATTATTTTTGAGGACCTTACAAACTATTACAACAATGTGCCTGAATTCACCATCTTGGCAACACATGCCACTACTCCTATCCAAAATGATGAATGGGTGCTAGCTGGGCCACTACCCAAATCACTCACCTAAGCCTAACATCAAAAGACGGAAGCCGAAACATATTCGGAAGCCCCAGCCGAGCCACATACCGGATCTGGGGCACAATCCGGTCAGACACACTCGTGTGTCGTCGCCGCCATCTTCCACAGGTCCGTCTTCAGATCATATTGAGGCTTCTACCTTGTCTGGCCACTCTGCCATCGACGTCACCATGACGCTAGACAGCAACCTCCTCCTGCGCGAGTCCATCTCCGTGCATCGGACGCCGAGCCTCCACAGCGCCATGCCGCCGATATCCGCCGACATCGATGTGTGAGATGAAGCACCGCTCCACCATCCCCCATCCAACACTTACTCCAAAACGATGCCCCTAGGAGGGAAAGCGATAAAACGTCGTCATCGTCCGATCCGAAAGAGCCAGATCTAGGGTTTCCCCCGGAGCATCCCGAGCCTGATGGCGCAGACTGCAACGACGATGCCTCGACAAGGGAACGACATCTAAGACGCCGACATCGTCCGCCATGACCATAGTCGGCGCGATTTTCATCGGCAGTTGCTCCACCAGACGTGTGCCGACGTCGCTGGTCCCTTCAACCGGAGCAAACTCCAAAACGATGCCCTAAAGAGGGACTATGACGCAAAAGCGCCGCCATCGCTCGATCCCAAGGAGATCTAGGGTTTCCCCCATAGTTGTCCGCGCTGTCAAGGGCCAGACAAGGGTAGAATCCTGTGGATCTGCCCAGCTGCCGACGAGTCGCACCCACCACCGTGCCGACGACTGACCAGCGATCAATCCGGTCGCGCCGCCGCGAACCGATCCGGTCACGCCGCTCCCGTCCCTGGCGGCCACGACGCACCAGATCGCAAGGCCTCCTGCCGCAGGGAATCGACGTCGCCGAGGCGCCGCCACGCTCCGGCCCGGCGGCGCCGGCCCGCGCCAGCCCCACCCGAGCGAGAGGGCCCGAGTTCCCGCCGCCGCCGGCGACGGCTAGGCTTCGCGTGGCCGCGCCCTTGGGCGGCGGCGAGGGAGGAGGAGGAGGAGTGGGGGAGGTTCGGCGGCGATGGGATCTGGGGCCTCCCGGTCGCCCACGCGGGAGGCGGCTCGGGAGGGAGATCAGTAGCCTATTAGGTGAACAGCAAATTGATCATGGGAAGTCTGTAATCCCCATAGAACATGAACTTATGTGATAGCATAAAAGGGCAGGCCAAGGAGCAAACCGAGCAAGTGAGATTGACTTCTACCCGTGTCCAAGGAGCCTGTTCCAATGGCTTCGCTACAATAGGCCTAGGAGACGCCGGGAACAATTTTCTTACCTTTTTCCACGCCATTGCTTCTTTTCTTGGCGGATGACCACATAACTAGCGGATGATTCTGAATCATGTATCCCCTGCTCCCGTTCTTCTCCTATTTCCTTCTTGCTGTTGACTGTAACCTCTCCTAGCTGCACTACGCATGCCAACCACCATACACGATGCACGTCCTTGCTACATCCCGCACACTACGCCCCGCCTCCGTGCTACTGAGCAGATTGCGCGTGTTGTACACTAGCCACATATGATCAATACAAGGGAGTAACAGGTAAGGTGCATTGCATCCTCCTCTTTCTCGTCTGCACTTTCAACCGCAATTTGTTGTAATCCACCTTTTCTTTTGAAAAAGGAAATATTAATATCACGCAAATACCAATTACACCTAGCCTGTGTGCTACAAGATGTCGCAACAACATCCAGGATGCACACAGTCAAAGAAAAAAATAGAAAAGAAAGGAAAAAAGAAGTCGCCAGGTGATTAGCAAAGTTCGCATCAACGTGTTGACAGTTATGCATAACTGGAATTTGCTAAGATGGAAACTCGTGATGTGTATGAGTCAAAATCTCATGAATTTTATTTAGCAGAAATGCTCTCTTTCTTCTGAACAGCATGTGGTTTTTTCAGTTTGTTTAGCCCGTTCTATAATTTTTGGAATTATGCCCTCAAGAACATGATGTATATAAATTTTTCACCAACAGAAAAATTCTTGCTGGTGGTCATTGTGTAGCTAGTGGTCGTGCAGCTGTGAAATTGGTTCGGTGGTGATTCGGGCACCGGTTAGGGCTTGCAGTCGATGGGGGCAAAGACCTCAAGGAAGGGATGGGCTGGGACGCTGGGTCGTATGTACTCTATGAACTGGTCTTGGGCTATGTGCCAACAGTTGGTTCTCCAATTAAAGGTTTCTTGTGACGCATTCATTGGTGCGAATGAGTAACGCACATACTATCAGCTCGAAAACGCGCGCGGAGTAAAAAGAATTGGAGGGAGTACTTCATCCATTCAGTTTGAGAACGCAGCATTCTTTTTCTTTTTTTTAACAAAACGCAGCATTCTTGAAATGGTAGCAGATTTAAAAAAGTTATGAGAATGTAAACAGAGTATACACTAAAGTGGTGAACAATCAAAGATTTCATTCACATGTTATGCTGTTTTAATTTTATTTATTTTTAGATTAAGATAAGATTTTTGAGATAGCTTATACCATGTTTTTTGTTAGTATTAGTAGGTGACTTGCCTGCACCAACTAATACATGCCTCGACCTGCTCTATCAACTTGCATCACCAACTCAACTCAACTAAAAAAATCGCATCACGATTTGATCATTGAGATCTCTTGATAATTTGTAGCGAACGCCGCCATTGCCTTAGATTCAGTTATGCATCCACCATTGTTGTTACCACAAGTACTGTCAAAAGAATTAGCATATTAGAGATGTAGTACACATCAAACATTTCTTTTATAGTGTGTAACACTTCAAACATAGCTAACTGTCGTTGCATGGGAGTATCAGAAAGAAGAGAGAAAAGCCTAGCAACAACATATCGCAACGCCTGTGAAGCAGAACAACATGAACACTCGGAAGGTTGTCAGAACAACACCAAGGCGGCTAAAACGATGCCCACGGTGCCGCCTCTGAGAGCTACCACCACAAGGCCACAAGGGAACAAAACCCACAGGCTACACACATATCATGAAATACACTAAAATGTACAACATCACGATTCGCTCTGCGAGGGTCGCTGGTCGGACCGGAGTTTGGAGGCACAAGCATCCAGCACCAGTGTGCGCCGTCTCCTTCACCAGGGAGTCTTGTCGCCTGGACCTGCAAGGATGATCTGCAAAACAAACCATGGAGAAGGGAAATCATGCCACGTCATAGGCGGTGGATATGCACTTCCTAACTGAAGCTGAGGCACGTACATTGCAATCAATGGCGAACCGCCGCGCCAGCATGATGGCGGTGTTCCGCTCTCTCGCTGTTTCAAAGGCAACGGCGAAGCTGAGGTCACTCCGGGGCCGCCAAAACATTGCCTGTGAGGCTGCTTCCCCACCACCTCGAACACCACATAGCTGATACATAACAGAAATACTGTGAGAGGCAGACTACTGTTACGCCAATAGCAACTACTAGTAACAAATACTAGTACGTTATTGCAAATTTCATTGAAAACGAACATGTTATATTAACATAGTAAAATAATATCACAACAGCTGCTTCGATTAATGAGCATTGTAATCTGTTTGCAGATACTGTTTAACCGAGAAAGAGAACATGTCCCCACAAGAAAAGAAAAGAAAAGAGAGAGAAGATGCCTTTGAAGCTGCAGCCTACCTGCATCGATGAGGAATAGAATTCTTTGGCAACTACTGTCTTTCCTTTTGAAAGTCTCATCCGCAATCTCCCAACATTGAGAACATGAACAGCCTCTTTCGGCTGATCAATTCCATTCAACTGAAGCACAACAACCTGCAATGAGACACAGAGCATTGGGAACTTCAGAAACAATAGTTCAAGATATGGAACGAGATCCTCTGACTTGGTACGTTCTACTGCCGAGGGACGTCGTTCCCGCTGCACCGTCCATCACGCATCCAACGATGCTCGCAGAAACTACACCATGCGCAGCTTTCGCTCTGGTGGAAATTGAAATAAGCGGCCCATCGGTGGTCTTAATTTTAAAAATAAGAGCACCGGGTGGGACGACGACAAGTACTACTAGGCATGACAACTTTGAACTGTTATACTGCCAAACTTTGTCATGCCAGTACAGACTCCTTATTAGGTACAAGTAAAAACACCACAAGATTTCTGTAAATTGAAACCCCTACATTGCGTATAGTTAGAATAAATATCATAAAGTGGGAAAGGATAGTATGGTCATACATTGAATTCAGTTTCAGGTTTTCTTACGAGTGTCTCTACATAATCCACCAGTCCAGCATCTGCTAAGAATACCAAGCTTATGTTAGTCGCGTAATAAACAAGAGATGCACATACTTATGCCTGACAGATGTGTTCAGTTAAACAAACCAGGGTCTACTAGCCCAGCTGTCTTTGCTATTGCAGTTTCACCCCCAAAATTGATTTCAGCTTGCATGTAACGTCCAACATCATTTGGCTCTGGAGCATATGCTGGTCTTGTGGCACCTACAGAAGTTCCATGGCAACAAATGTTAGAAGCACTAGGGATCTGAATTTGAGTTCAAGATTAAAATGCTTGGCCGATATGGCAAACCTAACGAAGTGACCAAAACTTGACAATCATAATTCACCAGGCAATGCTTGCCCTTTCCCTTCTCAATAGCTTAGAGATAGAGGTACCAAAAGAACAAGAAAAATGGAAGAGCAATTTTTTTGTTTTTTGAGCAACTATGTTCAAGAGGACAATAATATGAAAAAAAAAGTAATTAGAGAGATGCCTCTAGGCATCGCAATCACAGTGCAATGAGAGAGAGAGAGACTCCACCTGAAATAATCTCTTTGTTGCTTTCTTTTGGGTGTATCCGGAACCACTGGACAGAAATATTTGAAAAATCCACGGGAGTACCGTTGTGACAAACTATGTGTAGCATTGAACCCAAGCACTGGAGACCCTCCAAATCGAACACGGGAATTTCGTTTCCTTTTAGTCTTTTGTGCAGTTCCAACTGGTAAATAAAACCTTGCAAATCAGTAATATATATAACATGTATTCTGTTATGCTCTAAACAAATTCTCAACTCACTGGAAGTATTTCAGATGATGAAAACTTGGAATAAAAGAGTTTGAGACTGCTAGCCACATACCATAACAAATATGATGTATGTGTGCCATATCTAATATTGCATTCTTAGTGAAATAAATACATTTGTACTCAATGATTTTCAGCGATGATGTGAACATTGAATATGAAGATGTTCTGAAACTAGCCTAGCCATGCCGAATAAGTACGAAAATATCTTAGGCCGGCATCGGTAACACATACCTCTTTCAAAAGATTGACACAATCCACAGACTTCTCAGTAAACGTCTTACGTAAAGTTTTGATTTCATTTTCTAGATCCATGGCCTGGAGAAGTAATGAATGTGAAGTAGAATTGACATATTCCAATTTGTGTATCAAGCAGTGAATAATTATAATAAACTTTACCTTGCTAGGGCAATGCAGCATTTTTATTCTTCTGGCCACTCTAACTTCTTTCTTTAGTTCCTCCATATCCTTCCAAACAGCAAATAAATGTCACAACTCAGATACATATTGATGAATTCAAAGCAAAGCAACCTCTGGAACTCTGGATGTATAAAAGAGCATATAGCAGGGGACTAGAGATCAAGTATTGGACCAAATGGAACTGAAGCCTCAAAGCTAACCAAGATAAATAAAGGAGCAATAAATAAAAATGCAATGTTTCTCAGCAGAAAAATGCAATGTGCTAAGCTTAGTATGCATGATATTGGATTATATCATCTCAAATTGCACAGGTGCACAAAAGGTAGCTTTACTTCAAAATTTATGACATGTATATGTATTGCCACACAAAAAAATGAACAAATCTTCAGAATTACTATCCAGATTATGTACCAATTCAGCCAAGGAAAATAGCTTGCCAGAATACAATATGTAAGCAAGTAAGCAACAACATAAGAGGAGGAAGGGCAAGTAAAAGAACAATTAGAGTAAACAAGCTTCACTGTATGAACTAGCTTGTAGTCTTGCAGTAACTGGTAAGTAACAATTAAGGAAGGTGAGAAGCTTTAAAAAAAATCAACGTACTTGCTTCCCAGTTTTTTTGGACATCTTTTCATGCTCCTGAAGTGCTTCTTGAACTCTTTGCACTGCAGACCTAGCACTCTCTACCTCCGTATTGGCATTAACTCTTTCTTCTTCAACAATTCTCTTGGCATCTTCAGAAGCCTATGAGCAAGACAAAAAAAAACTTCAATACTATAAACAAAGGACAATGCACAAAAGGTGTTGAGAGCATCACAACAGGTAGGAGCATGGGAGCATTTATACTTGGAATATATCCTTTTCGATATTGTGTAAAGAAAATCTAATCCTGCTTAAGATAATTAGCGCTCTATGCTCACTTGACTAATTGCATGTTTCTGATGGAGTCACATTTGGAAAATCAGGTGAAAATCTTGAGACATATCGACTAAACATTTACACAAGCCGCCAACTTTTGAGGGGAATGACGTGTAGTAATGTATATTTTCTTCCCTATAGTAATCAGGTTGCATCGACACAAACTTTCATTTTCCATAAATTCTATTGTAAGATAAAACAAACATTACTCTAATTTTTTTAGACTATAATTACTCTAATTTAGATAGGTGTGCATTCCTTTCGAACTAACATAAATATGTTTCTTTGGTAACGAAATCCCTAAAACTAGGATCAATGGGTATAGTCCCTAACTGAATGTGCAGTCTGTATATGTTTTCAATCGACCTCCGAAACTAAATACATTTATTAGTTCCTAGGTACAAGTTCTTTTAAGAGCTTTTCAAAACTTCTCGCTAGGCAAGAGAAGCAGGTACGAGTTATTTCCCTGAAGACTTCAGGACTTGAGCAATAAACTGCACCCTTTTGTAGATATATCTCATAAAGATAGATCTTCTCTACTATACATAACTGTCAACTAAGGCTCATTTCTATTCTGCTTAATATAATGATGAGCAGCTTTCCTGCATGCTCGAGGAAAAAAAACTGCCAAGTAAGAAAGCAAATACTCCCTCCGTTCCTAAATATTTGTCTTTCTAGAGATTTCAACAAGTGACTACATACGGAGCAAAATGAGTGAATCTACACTCTAAAATATGTCTACATACATCCGTATGTTGTGTCCATTTGAAATGCCTAGAAAGACAAATATTTTGGAACGGAGGGAGTACGTATTTAAGTTGGTTGTGAATTATAAGTAGTACAACTACCAAATGAAGGATTCATGATACCGAGAACTTCGACATTATTCGAGTACATAGATTCTGATTCTGGAACATATCAAACCTCATGTTTGTAAAATCTAATGCTACAGCCGTGGAAAGTGTAAACAAACAAACTGGAACATACCAGCTTTAATGATTTCGCTAATTCTGTGACCTCTGTTTTTTGTTGAATCAACTCAGCTTCTCTTTTGGAGAGCTGAACTGCAAGAATTTCCACCTGGAAAATAGCATAACTTTAATCAAATGAGAACATACCAGCTTTAATGATAACTAGATGCAAATATAACTTCAAATGAAAGATGGAGCTACAAGAAAAATGCCTGGAGTATAGGATATGAAGAAACCAACCATAGAAATAGACTCCTCAATTTCATCCTTAGTTTTGCCCGTGACTTGACCTCTCAGTGACTCCAATACACTCTTTAGATTTTTCAGGAGAATGTCTCGCTCCAACAAAGCCACTTGTCTCCATTTAACCTGACGGTTTGAACAAGTCAATCAGAAAACAAATTCATAACCTAAGAAAAACATAAATTCATTAACTAAACTGATTGGCATGTAGCATGGAGGCAATCATGCACTAAATACAGAAGGTCTGTTCGAGAAGAATGCAAAGGTCTGAACCTCTTTAGACAACAGAGTGGCAGTGTTGAGTCCCTTCTCAAACTTCATTGCAAGCTCACGGACTGAGAAGCGCTGACGGCGATCAAGCAGTTCCTCAGTCTCCTTAGCAACAACCTCCTTCAGAGGCGGCACTTCTGGGCCATCTGCCAGCTTGATCACTATGCCGTTTGAACCGTTCTTGTAGGTAGGAAATTTGTTTCTTATGATATTTGCTGGACGCAGTGGCCCTGGTCGTATGTCCTCATTCTTTGTCTTGCGCCCATAATCAAGAGTTGCTGCCCAGGTCATCTATAAAATACAACTTCCCTGCAATTTTCACACAATACATTCTTTCGTCAACATAAAAATTGCATTAAACATGACACCTGCATAACAGATTAGCGTTTGAGAATTTATTCCTGCCAAAAGTGATGCACAAGGCAATGGAACAATGACTCGGAGCTAAAGTTGTGAGATTCAAATCAAAGAATGCAAAAGGGGTGGAAACAGGCTGGATAAGCTATGAAATGTGGCCTAAGTATACTTGAAAAGCTACAGCTTTGTGTGAAACAACTGATAAACATAAGACGGTCTTATCTTTCAAGCAAGGGACAAATAATCAAATAAAATGAAGGAGTGCAAAATATTTTAGCACACAGCAAAAACCCAGAAAACATGAAAGCAATATGATAGAGAGTAGGCCCTCACAAAGAATCAAAATGGTTGATTACACACCAGCAAACTATCGGGGCAGGCACAATTGTAGGTGGTTGGCAAAATTATGCGGTGTCATTCATGAACCTCCCCCCATTAATTAGCAGCATAATATACTAGTGAGGAGCGGGGACAAAAGCCTCCACCAACGGAAAACTTACACTAGGAATGAAATTAAAATGATAGCGTAACAAACTGCTTTTTACAACACAACGCTTTGTTGAATTCCACTTTGTTAAAGGGCACGGCTGAGAGGACGGCAAGAATGCAACTTTATCAGCGAACAAGGCATTCTCCGCTTTACAGTTGGAAGTGGTCCACCCTTGTCCATTGTTGGTTAGGCGACAGAGGAGGCTCGATAAAGTAAAGTAACACAGCATCCAAACCCTGTTTAGCCCTGAAGACAGGAATTTTCTCACGAGGCAAGTGACACAAGGAAAATGGCAAAGCTAATTAGCTCATTAATTTACTCCACATATAGAAGGCGAAACAAACTCTGAGATGTGAAACTCTGGAAGACCTTCCTTATTTAGATCACATAAACGAAAGACAAAAAAACCGTTCTTAATTAGGGAAATGAAGCCGGTGCTCAGTGCAAAACGCTGGGGCATCTAAGACTAATATTCTACTGTACTGTACAGTTGTAACTTGGACCGAAAGTACTTTAATTAGACCCACAAATAAAATAATCTAGTATTGTTCCTGCAGGTTCCCCAGACCGCAATGCAAGTATTGCAAACCCTGCATGGCCCCATCGTCAAGACATAAACAATGCAAGTACATCTGTACTACTGGTACTTAATTACGCCGTTGATTTGTACTGTAGGAGTACTACTCCACGCGACACGGAGACGAAATCCCTCCTTCTTCTTCTCGCGGCGCTCAACTGCTCCCCCCGTGGTTTAATCTCCATGTCGAAGTCGCACCCAGCGACGGATTGGAAAGCGTCTGCTACCGGCTAGGCTAATACGGAGTACTACTTTGAAGGGAGCAAGGAGAGAAGAGGTTACATTTTCACCCGCGGGCTAATCAAGCAGGAAGATGCAAAATCTCATCTCAACAGCAGAAAAGAAGGAGCTGAAAATAAATGAAAAATCCGCACAAGAAGTAGAACTGACCCCGCAATGCGCGCGCGCGCGTGCGTCGGCCTGGAGCCCTCCTCCACGCGGGCCGGGCGCGGCGGCGAGTGGCGGCGCAATGGGGCTGATCCGGCGAGGGCGAGGGCGAGCAGAGCAGGCCCGCGGGGATTTGGGGATCTTGTTTGCGAGGAGGAGGGGTTTGCGCCGAGCCGCCGGGGGGCGAGGGAAGGAGACAGTTTTCTGCGCGGGGTTTGCTTTGCCCCCCTCTCTCTCTCTCTCTCTCTCTGTGAGTCTGTGTGTGTGTGCTTTCTTCAAGGAAGGAGTGGGGAGTGGGGTAGGAGGCTAGTGCCTGCCGGGTACAGCGGGTGGCAGCTTTGAATAGCCCCTCCGGCCCCCGTCCGGTGACCCTCTCCTCTCTCTCACTCACTCGGTGGCGTGCATGGCTAGGTCCACGCGCAAGTGCGCCTTCTTTCCATGCTGCGTCCTCATTGCGGTTGACAAGGCAGGACCAGCCGGTATAGTGCATGGGGATTACAAGAGTAGGAGTACGTGGTTTTCTTTCCCATCCCTTCCACATGGGTAATGATCCTCTCACGTACTACGTGCGTCCTTGTATTATTGATTTCATGAGTTTGACTCGCATGATGAGTTCCAAACGGAGCCGTCGTGACAGCCCACCAAGTTGATGTAGTATGATGTGGACTTGTTTCTTTCTTTTATTTATTGTTATTGTTAGGTATACATGCTTGTATCTTCCTCCTTTTTTTCAGGAAAAAATACGCCCACTCGCACTCCATTCAAAATACCGTCGTCGGGTCATTTATATAAACTAGCACAATGCCCGTGTGTTGCTATGATCGAATCCATGAAAAACGAGGAGTTATCACTGGCTTAGGAGATCGTCAAAAGATGATGGCATCTTTCGGCCGTTGCATGGTTCACAACTAAAGAGAGAGTGAAAATGTAACAAAAGATCATATGTTGTAGTAGTCTAGGATGATTATCGGGCACTTGGTAGCTTGCTGCTAGGTCCATGCCAAATGCGCCTTCTTTCTATGTTGCGTGCCTCCCTGGCTATGGTTGAGTGCGTGGTTTTCTTGTCTATTCACATGGATAATCATCCTCTCACGTACGTACGTACTACGTCCTTGTAGTATTATTGATTTGAGTTTGACTCGCATGATGAGTTCAATTCTGAGCCGTCATGACAGCCCACAAAGTTGATATATGATGCCGACTTGTTTCATTTTCTCTTTATTTATATTTGGGAACTTGTTTCTTCTTCCTTTCTTTTCAGAAAAGAAAAACTGACACTTCAGATTGAAAAACCACCGTCAGGTCATCTATTGGGCCCGTGATTTGTGTGTGTTAATTATATGACTGAAATGAACCAAAGCATTTGAAATCGCCGTGCTACATGGAGAATGCATGGGGAGCAACTAGTTCACGAGCGCTCCTTCGGGAGCCTCGCAACGATCAGCACCACTTGGTGCGCTCTCAGCCATTCGCCACGTGTCGCGCTCTGGACGCTCCCTTCGGTTTTTTCGACGTTTTGGTTTTCTCCTGGTCTTCCTTAGCTTTTCGATTAAAAAAATCCGGAAAAAAAATTTTGCGCGAAAAAAACACGTTTTCTTTTTCCTTTCGCGAAAGTTATGGTTTTTCCACAAGAGTGACGGCCGTGCCTTTCGGAAACGAAAAAAAAACGTTTTTTCTTTCTTTCACGAGAGTCACAATTTTGCTTCCGCGAGAGGCACGGTTGTGCTTTCGCGAAAGTCACGGCCGTGCCTTTCGGAAACGGAAAAAACAAACGTGTTTTCTGTTTTTTTCTTTCGTGAGAGTCACAGTTTTGCTTCTGCGAGAGGGATGGCTGTGCTTTCGCGAGAGTCACGGCCGTGCCTTTCGGAAACGGAAAAAACAAACGCGTTTTCTGTTTTTTCCTTCCACGAGAGTCACGGTTTTGCTTCCACGAGAGGCACGGGTGTGATTTCACGAGAGGCACGGGCGTGCCTCTTTCGGAAAGGGAAAAAAATCGTGCTCCTGGTTCAGTTTTTTCGCCTGGTTTTTTCGTGAAAAAAAATGTTCTCAAAACCTATCAACATGGGATCTAGTTTTAAAGATCTCGACGCGAGGAATCCAATGATGAAAACGGTTCGAGATTTGGACGCACGGTTTAAAAGATAAAATGTTTTGAATAAACGGATCTACGAAAAGAGTGAAAACTCCCAGGTTGCAACAAGTGGCGCGCTGCATGGGCACCACTTGTCGCGACCTGGGAAAGTGGAGTGTTCTTTACAACGAGTACTCCTTAATTAGTGATTTCGGAATGCATGTCATTTCAAAGCTACATGTAGTGACCCTCACATATGATACTTCAAAATCCGGTCCATTCCATTTTAAAATGTCTTGATGTTGTAATAAATGGTGGAGCTAGTAGTAGCAACTTTTTCGTCAATAATACTGATTCTTCCTAAATAATCGATGATCAAACATATAGAAATCCAATTTTTCATATATTCTAACGTTGCTTACATTATATTTATGATCGGGCGCTGACATCTTTTAACAATACTTCTAAGAAGTTTCAAACAATCGAAATTATGCACAATTAGATAGCTATGCATGATGAATTTTGCTAAAACTTAATGGTATAATTATATATAATGCCTAGTTGAAAAATAAAATAAAAATATTAACAACCTAAGGACTTTCAATGTATGATTTGTAACCCCGCGACAGAAAAATGCAACCCCCTGTTTGCGTGTTGTGTCGTTGCCAACATCATATGGAGCTCTATTCTTCGGTCGGCCAATCTTCAGGTTGTCGTCGCCCCCATGAATCAGGAGGTTGCCATGGTGGAGTGTTTGTGAATGAGTCTACCACAACATAGATAGGAAGAGACTGGATTGCTTGTGTGTCTTGGTGGTTTGTGCTATTTGACATGAAAGGAATGAGTCTACCACAACATAGATAGGAAGAGACTGGATTGCTTGTGTGTCTTGGTGGTTTGGGCTATTTGACATGAAAGGAATGCTCGCGTCTTCGACAATAAAATCCCGACAATTCTACATGTTGTCTATCAGCTTAAGGTTGATGTTGGCTTCTAGTTTAGGAAGCTTTAGAGCATCTACAGCCGCAGGTTGCAAAATTGGACCCTCAAACGTCCGTGGATGTGTCCGGACGCGCCCGCAGACAGTGACCGGGCGAGCCTTAAATTTTACCATTTGCAACCACATACCCTATTTTCAAAACATTTATTACATGCAAGGCCATGCACATCGATCATCTTGTCAGTCTTGGGCCGGCTGGCCTATCAAAACACCAAAAATTGCTCATACTTAAGATTTCCACATCCGTATTAGTCCCATCTCGTCGCGTGCCGAGCTAGTCGACTGACTTAAATAATCGGGTCATCCAGAAGTGATAAGCTTCTGACATCATTGCATCATTTGTTAAGAATATAGACTCACCATGATAAACATAGAAGATTCATAGTCAGGGGTCTATCTCCTTGACAAG